AGAAATGCACTCAACTTGACTCTCCTTAGCTTTGGCAGCAGAGAGGAACCCAGAATTCTTAATTTGGGAACGCACCTTACATTAGGTTTGTTGACATGAGTGTTGACAGGAAAACTTTGTAAAACACTTCTGAAAAACCTATAGGGTTGGTGTGTGCATGCATTTTGGATTCATTTAAGTGTCGTTTGTAAAATGTGGACTGAAGGGTTTCAGAACTAATTTTATAGGGGTGTATACTTGTGAGCTACTATGGTAACAAAAAAGTGCTTTCAATTAATTATTTTAAATATAATGGTGCATCAACACATAAAACACATACTCAAAATACTGTGTAGAAATAAACAAATAAAATATTATATGTGTCGCGCTCCTCATAAATTAAATAAATCTAAATAAATAAATAAATATTATCTCATAATGATATATTATAACTTAAATTAAAACATGCCCAGTGCTGTAATTAATTTGATTATAAATAACTAAAAATAATGTGTTTGATGATATGAAAAAATATAATATAATGTGCCACAAATCAAGTGAATCAAAGAAAAACCTCTTTGTTCAAAAATAAATTGTGCAAAAATTGTGCATGTGCAAAATATGCAAATATTGCCCAAAACAGTAATACAAAATATATATGTAATATAGTGCAATATTCAATTAAATCTGGGAAAATAAATAATAATAAAAACTATGCAAACAATGTGTAATAATCACTTCACTTGTGCAACCTGAAACGGTGATTAGGACTATATACTCCTAATCCTTATTTAGGATGAGATATAAACGTCCCAATTTATGCAGATGTATAGAAAGTCTATTGCTGTAAGGGTAGACTGTGATGTTGCTTTCCTTCCACTAGATGGCCTCCCAGTTCCTTCCGAGTTTATAAGGGCTGGATGGATAGATATGGATATCTCCCCTCGTGTGGTTTGGGGTCTATCTCTTATCTCCTCTTCCTCCCCTTTTACTCCTCCGATTTAGGCCATGAAAAAGAAAAAAGATCCCCACATGGTGCTTATATCTTTCAAAAAGGTTTTAATGCGTCTCCTGACAAATTCAAACTCACATTTCCAAGATCAATACAGAGCGTTTGTTAAAATGTGTGCCCTCGCACAAAGACAGTACTCGCCGTTCCGCTAGTTGTGGCGTCGTGACGTCAGAGCCCCTCCCCTACGCGTTACGCCACAGGGTCACGTGGCTTCCTCAGGGGGAAGCCACGTGACCCCCTGAGGAAGCCACGTGACCCTGTGGCGTAACGCGTAGAGGAGGGGCTCTGACGTCACGACGCCACAACTAGCGGAACGGCGAGTACTGTCTTTGTGCGAGGGCACACATTTTAACAAACGCTCTGTATTGATCTTGGAAATGTGAGTTTGAATTTGTCAGGAGACGCATTAAAACCTTTTTGAAAGATATAAGCACCATGTGGGGATCTTTTTTCTTTTTCATGGCCTAAATCGGAGGAGTAAAAGGGGAGGAAGAGGAGATAAGAGATAGACCCCAAACCACACGAGGGGAGATATCCATATCTATCCATCCAGCCCTTATAACTCGGAAGGAACTGGGAGGCCATCTAGTGGAAGGAAAGCAACATCACAGTCTACCCTTACAGCAATAGACTTTCTATACATCTGCATAAATTGGGACGTTTATATCTCATCCTAAATAAGGATTAGGGAGTATATAGTCCTAATCACCGTTTCAGGTTGCACAAGTGAAGTGATTATTACACATTGTTTGCATAGTTTTTTATTATTATTTATTTTCCCAGATTTAATTGAATATTGCACTATATTACATATATATTTTGTATTACTGTTTTGGGCAATATTTGCATATTTTGCACATGCACAATTTTTGCACAATTTATTTTTGAACAAAGAGGTTTTTCTTTGATTCACTTGATTTGTGGCACATTATATTATATTTTTTCATATCATCAAACACATTATTTTTAGTTATTTATAATCAAATTAATTACAGCACTGGGCATGTTTTAATTTAAGTTATAATATATCATTATGAGATAATATTTATTTATTTAGATTTATTTAATTTATGAGGAGCGCGACACATATAATATTTTAAAGGTTTCAGAACACCACTTTTTTTTTTTTTTTTTCTTTTTAATTTATGTAGAAGGAAATTTAATTTTAAAGCAAAGCTTTTTGAATGTCTCTTGAGTATCAAAAATGCATTTAGGGAGTACTGTGATTGGCGTTGATTGCTGAAAAGTTGCTGTGCTGGATTTTATGTATAGAACGGGCGTTTGCTTTAAGGTTTGAAAAGGTTCAGTAACACAAAACAAATGCCTATTCTTTACACACAGGTGAATTAAGTCTTACGCAGATTTAAATCTTTTCTTTTGTTGGTGGAGTTCACCTATATTAATAAAATGTTTGAGCTTTCTTAGAATACCTAATGGTTTCATGACTGCAATATACTGTACCTCGAAACTTTCTCCTGTCATGGTTGATGTCTCCTTGAAACATTAGTTGGCTCTCAATCATTCTGATCAGTTTCAGTACTTCATTGGAACTTACCTTGAAAAAGTTAGAAAGTTCATTAGTTCTGACTTGGCTTATGGATGTACTTGTATTGGGTCCTCAAAACCAGAAACGGCCTGGAAGCTAGCAATTGCAGATGAAATTCCGCAGTGGCAGCTTCCAGGTTTCCATTAAACACACTAAAAATGTATGTGGGTCTCCATCAAACCTGTCAAAAACCCCTTATTAACTATTGGCACAATCACCTCCATGGCCACAGGTGTTTAAAATCAAGCACCTAGGCATGCAGACTGCTTCTGCAAACATTTGTGAAAGAATGGGTCGCTCTCAGGGGCTCAGTGAATTCAAGTGTGGCACTGTGATAGTTTGCCACCTGTGCATTAAGTCCACCCATGATAAAAGGATAGAAACACAAGAGCTAGGTAACAAGCCGCTAGCATTAAGGTATAGCCTCAGACCCTTTAGATAAATATGTAATACAGAAATGCAGCGCTGAGTAGAGATATTAAAAGTGAAAAAAAAATATATATAAGTGTAGGCTCTAAGGAGCGCTTTAAGTAGTACAATATGGTGATATCCTCTAATTATGACGTATTGATATGGTGAACATAAAGTGAATGGTTAAAGTGACATTCGGTGATCAATGCATGACATAATCAAGTCCAAATGCAAAAGATGATAAATAAATAGAAGTGAAATCCGTGACTCGGTAGCTGGAAGCTTTTGTATGATATTGCACTAATCAGAAGCACAATATTTAAGCGCATTTGTGTATACAAATCCCGTCATGGTCATCTGGATCCGAATGGGTGTATTAAGAGTCATCTGGAGCACGTCAGGTGATCAGCAGACCTCACTCACAGGTTCCAGGGGCATCACGTCCGATGTTAGAGACCAATCATGGGCATATGGCAGGTAAATAACGAGCCAGAAAAAAATCTTTGATAGTGCAGTATTTTTTATTTCAATATTTCAAGGAATGTGAAAAAAAACAGTGCACTCACATCTGGCTAACAATAAAGATGGCCACCGGCCTTACTCGCAGCCTGTGCGGTGTGACATCAGCAGCTGGGCTCCTCCCTATTGCGTTTCGTGCTCATGTACGTTTTCAAAAGCCTCCCTTTTTTTTTTTTTTTTTGTTTAAGTTAGTTATTATTGACCATGAGCAATAACTTATGGAACCTATATTATGTTACTTGGCTTATAGAATAGATTATAGATTCAGTATATTATTATGTGTGTTTTTAAGTTTTCAATAAAATGAATACAGTTTTAGGTTTAGCTTTAATTTGTTGCATATTTTTGTACTTTTTTTTTTTTTTTTTTTTTCAACAATTTAGTAATTTAACTTCTCTGTATTTCTCCAAATGTACATGAAGTATAATATTTGTAATCTGTGTTTAGATTTATACTGCTTAAAAGGCTCCGTTTAGGACTCTTCTGAAAATAGCTCACTTTTTTGTGTAAGGATCCTTGTGTGTGAGCTTTGTGAATTAAAGAATATGTAAAGCCTACATTTCATATTGCTAATATGTGTCTGCTGTAGCATGTGCTTGTATGAAAAAAGTATCCTGTTCTCTTTGTATTGCTTCCTTTGTGTGAAATCCCCGGTATTCCTGTAATAACTCACCACACTAAGGCGCTCCATGTACTCTAGAACATCTTTCTATCGGCAGCAAAAAAACACTAAATGTGGCAAAACAGCATGTAAACACATTATTGCTTTTTAGCCAGAGTTCTTGCCGTTGAAATGAATAAACGTCCAAGTCCTAAATGGAGTTAGTGCTTAGGCGTGTGTACATGTGTTTTTGCAGCGTTTAGTGTTTTTTGGCCAAAACATTTTTCTCCTGAACGTGATTCTTCTCCGTTCAGGATAGGGACATTTAACTGTCCCTAAACTCTGCTGCTGTTAAACTCTAAGTCTATGTGTGCATGAGGCTTTGGTAAACAAAAATGCCTGAAGCACTTGAACTCACTATGAGCAGCATTGTGCTTGAGGCCTAAGCAGGAAAACACACTGTGCTTAGTTCTCTAGCTATGCTGGGAACTTAGTGTGCTGTCTTCTCATTGTCAGACTTATACTGACACATACGCCCCTGCACAGCCATTCACTGGGAAGATAAGTGTACTTCTGTTTCTCCTCCCCTAGCTCATATGCAGCTAAGAACAGAGGGAATGTGATCACTGTTAAAAAAAAAGAGGGAAAAATTGGTGGTAATGTTTTTTTTTATCTATACACAAATGTTTACCTTTAGTGTAAGATTGCGTAGATTTATTTGTATTATTTTTTAACTCCACCAATCTGTATGTCTTTCAGGTGTGCTGACTAAAGGCCGTTTTTGTTAACTCCACACCCTCCAAATATATTTAAACCCAGCCGAAGCTTGGAATGTGCCGTCCTATGGAGGATTAACTAGTGCAGTTTTAAGGAGGTTCTGCACAGAAGGACTTCAAACAAGTGCAAGAAAAAGAGAGCTGTAAGGATATAAAATGTCATCAAACAGGGGTCAAAATCCTCATGGACTTAAACAGATTGGCTTGGACCAGATATGGGATGACCTGCGGGCCGGCATCCAGCAAGTTTACACCAGACAGAGCATGGCAAAGTCCAGATACATGGAACTCTATACGTATCCTTCAATCTGCTTTCAGAGCGTTGCACGTCATGGTAAATCTTGAAGGATTCCTGGAACATGGAATTGTCAGACTCTGGAAACTCTTCTGGATATAAAATGGAAGTCCTTTGCCATTTTTGGGAATATTTATACAAAACAGATTTCAAAGTGCTGCAAAAACCATTTATTGGCAGATTATCAGAAGGTTTTAGCATTTCTTGGTCTAATTGCTTAGCTGTTTGTTTATGGAACCTAGCAAATTTCAGATTTCACCAGTATTTAAAAACATGGAGACTGGTTTGGCTTTTTTGATTTTATGGGCTGGGTCAGATTCAAATCTAATAGTGTGTTCTAGTCAATTACTTCATTTTTACAACTGCAATTTTTTTTATATTTTATTTTTTTCACACTCTTTTTATAGTGTTATTGATGGTATTGCACAGACTGATTGAAAATATAGGAGGAGCACAAATATCTGTGTGCTTTGCAGTGATAGGCAGATAAATGTTGTTGAGAAGGGGACTTGTCTTTTGAGGTGACTTATTAAACAGGAAACACTGTCCTAAAGGGTAGGTAAAGGCAAAACTTTATTTTTTGATTTTTATTTCTGTATGTGCCCCTGTTGTAGTTGCTCACTTCTCTAATTGTACTGGTGATCATTGTTACTGAGACAGGGAGAAAAATCCAAAATTCTAGAGTTGTTACCAGTATAAGGCTCGAGGCAAAATCTTCCAATGGTAACACTACTCCTGTGACAGCTGTCTAAAAGGGGAATTTCCCTTTCTTTCCTTTAACTTCCTGTTGCATTAAGGAAGTGAAGGTAAATCTCCTCAGCAGTGTGCAACTAAAAATAGAACATAATCTGCCTGGGTTTAACCGATCCCTGCTCTATCCAAAGCTAAAAATATTTGAACTTTACATACACTTCAAAGTGAATCTGTGCAAATTAAAATATGAAAGCAGCTATTGTTAAAAGTTAGGACTCCAGGACTACCAATCTTGGTCCTGGCTTCAATACCTGGTGAGTTACAGGCCATGTCGGTAGGGCAGAGTTTCCATTGCTGGGGACTACAGACCTACCACCTTGGCAGCCAAAGCAACATCTCTTTTTCCAGGATCTTTTACATATGGTATTCTTTGTTTTACTGGTTCTAACTTGGCTTAAGCCTGGTATGTACATTTATTTTTTTTATTTATTACAAGTACTTGTATAGCGCTGTCAATTTACACAGCACTTTACATATATATTGTACATTCACATCAGTCCTCACAATCTAAAGTCCCTAACTCACATTCATACATACACATATTAGGGCCAATTTAGACAGGATCCAATTAACCTACCAGCATGTCTTTGGAGTGTGGGAGGAAACCGGAGTACTTGGTGAAACCCGCACAGGGGAGAACATGCAAACTCCAGGCATGTGGTGCCATGGTTGGGATTCAAACCAATGACCCTAGTACTGCCAGGCGGAAGTGCTAACCATTTAGCCACTGTGCTGCCCACATTGAATATTGTTTTTCGTTCAACCCAACAGTTTGAACAAAAAAAAAAAAATTTGAGAGATTGCTATACTAACTAGACAATGTTAGTGCAGCGGTCTCTCCTGCTGTGCCTTTGTGCTCTGACAGAGATTCCCCCCAGAACACACTAAGCAGCTCTCACGATAGCCTGCGAACGCTGATTGGATGCTGGTTTTCCAGCATGTCCCTTCAAAAGAAAGCTGGTCCTCCCGGCTTCTGTTGGAAGGACAGCTGTACAGTGTCCGAGTGTCGATCAGTTCTTGATGAACCAGCCAACATTTGGACCCTGTGTACCCAGCTTTAGTATATTGTGATAGTGTACTAATCGTTTCATAGAATGAATGTATGTATCCTATATAAGGGGAGATGAATAATTGATAACTATTATAGGGGGAAAAAAACCCGCCTCTTATCCTCTTCCCCCTGTAGTCACTTGCCTACCTGTATTCAATACCCATTGTCCTAAACTGTCGAAAGGACAGCAGTGACTAACTTTAAGAAACTCGCACCCAGTGAAAAAATACACTGTGAAAACGGAGTAAAGAATGGCGCAGCGCTAGACATACATACAATACTCCCTACCGCTAACATACATGCCCACCTGTCCCTTACTGTGAATCTGTAGTTCTGATTTTCAGTATTCGCTGACTGCATGCTTGTTCCAGGGCATGACTCTCTAGGTTGTGAAACTAAGGTTTGAATGAAAGTTCTAAAGCAAGTCAGTAGTGGCAGTTTTCACATTTTGTATCCTCACATGCTCACTCTAAATAGGAGCATTGTTCCTGCAGTTCGCCCTAGTTAAGGTACCACACTTTTGTGGGGGAAAAAAAAATCACAAAAAAAAAAAAAAATGATTAAAGCGCTTTTGAAGGCTGAATGTTTTTTTTTACCTTCATGTATTCCAGCGACATTCTCGACAGCCTCAGTTGTCTGGGGACTCTGTCTCCTCATTGGCTGCCACGGTAGCCCATTGGCTGCCACTGCTGTCTATCACACTCAGTGAGCAAATGAGGAGAGGGCGAGTCACTGCTCTGTGTCTTATGGATGCATGGAGCAGTGGCTCGAGGACGAGCACACAGCAGTGCCCCAGGGTGAGCGGATTTCCCTGGTGGCACTGCTTGTGGGGGGCAGCCAGGAGCGCGGGTAGGGACCGAAAAGAAGAGGATCGAGGCTGCTTTTTTCAAAATTACTGCACAGAGCAGATAAGTATCGGCATGATTGTTGTTTATTTAAAAAAAAAACAAACAAAAAAATTTTCCTACAAGGACGTTGTGTCACTTTAAAAATAAGTCACTCCCATTGAGATTTGCTCCCAGATGTTGACAAAGTTTTTTTTACTTTGGGCTCCATGCACACTGGTTTAAAAAAAAAAAAATGGTAATTCTGAGCGATTTTTTTTGTACCAGAATTTTGGTGTTTTTGCTGTGCGCTTTTGTTTTTTTTTTTTTTTTTTTAAGACGCAATGCAAACGGAAGGATTTTTTTTTTTGTGCCTCCTAAATGCTGAGCTTAAAAAAAAACGCTCTAGACTAACCTAATCTGCTTGGACACATAGTATAACATTAGTAGCTTCCACAGGCAAAACTCTAGGAGCAATGTTTTTTAAAGCCAGTGTTCATGGAGGAATCTGCCACAAAGTTTTGATAAAATCCTTGCAATGTAGATTGATCTCCCAGAGGGTATTGATTTTTCTCAAAGTGGAGTTACTCTTTAGGTTCTTGTTTAGCTCACTTATGCCTCAATATGTTTGAAAATGGTGCATTTGGGGCTACTGAAGAACTTGGTGCCAGGATATTTACAACTGGGTATTTTCAGGAGGTCTGTGTGTGTAGTAGGCACGTGTCTTTTTACTTAAAGGCCAATTACATTTAATGAAAAAGCTATGCAGATAGACATAGTCTTACAATGTGTTGTTTAGTCTGACCTCAACTTTCCTGTTACAACAGTTGCTCAGTAGTCTCAGTAATCAGTGCTCCACAGTAACAGAACTAGTCTGATATGCCCCTCTCTTCTCTCTTTCTAACACAAGTCTGTGTGACCACACTTGTGTGGAGGATTATGGCCATTACTCAGCAGGCTATACTAGCATAGAGCAACTGGAGGGAGCAGATTTTTTACAGCAACTGGAGGGAGCAGATTTTTTACAGAGAAATTATTTTAACACTTTTCAATGCAAAAATTAGCCATAATTTATTATTAGGACTATAAAGACATAAAAAGTTGTACATTTTTAGCCTGGATTTAAAATAAAATATTTGAGGGTTGGTTTTCCTAAATGATTTGCATATGGCCCTCTTAAACAAAAATGCATTTATGATGTTATTGTCTAATTACAGAGTTCAGTTACAATTGGGGTTTTAGAAAATAATACTTTCTATTATTTTGTAATGTACTCCCACTGCACACCCTCCCATGTTTGGGTTGGCCACAGAACATTTTTATCCAATCCCACAAAGATTTGAACAGGCAGCTATATAAGATGTAACAACTTTTAAAATGTGAACGATTTCTATTTAACCTCTTGACCTATGGAAGGTTTTACCTTCATATAACCAGAGCATTTTTTGCTATTCAGCACTGCGCTATTTTAACTGTTAATTGCACGGTCATTCAACACAGTACCAAAATGAAATATTTTATTTTTTCTTTCACACAAAAAACTTTTCTTTTGGTGATAACCACTGGGTTTTTTATTTAAAAAAAAAAAAAGATAAAATTTTATTTTAAGATTTAATGTTTAGGCCAAAATGTATTCTGCTTCTCCTATGTCTTTTTGGTAAAAAAAAAAAAAAAAAATCCCAATCAGGGTATATTAATTGGTTTGTGCGTCTACAAACTAGTGTGTGTGTGTGTGTGTGTTGGATTCCAATCATCCGACGCCCGGGACATGTAGTTCTGGGCGCCGGGCAGGCAGTTTCTTTCTGCCTTTAGGTCTGCTGCGGGCAAGCAGCAGGGCTCACCTGTCAGGTGAAGCAATCAGCAGCAGCCCGTCCCCGGCATGAGGTCTCCCGGGCACCGCTTGCCCATCTGTGGGCCCGGCTCGCCGATGGCTAGAGGGGAGGGGAAAGAGCGGACATGTGCGCTCCCCTCCCTTTCTTGTGCTGACCTGGAAGTGACGTTATGATGTCACTTCTGGGTCCCCATTGAGAGATTGTAGAGCAATCCCCAGTGGAGCAGAGGGGAGACAACCAGGGTCTTTTAGACCTTGAATGTCTCAAAGAGAACCTGTTACCAAAAATCATCATGTAGGGGACTTTGTCCCCTATGTGATGGGGAAAAAAAAATTTTTATTTTTTATTAATTGTAGCAAATGAAAGTTACACCCAAGCACATACAATCCCCCCCCCCCCCCCCAAAAAAAAAATAATTGAGGCCCCCACATATACAAACGTAAAATCACACGCTGGGGCGTCTACGCATGTTATATATCGCTGCGCACGTATCAGTGCTCATTACACTGCAGGGTCTCTCTCCTCCCTGCTAGTCCCGGTGCTATAGACAGAAGGGGAGGAGGAGATAAACAGCGAAATGTTAAAAATATTACCCGTTTAAGTCACCATAAAGCCCCTTTTTGTTTTTAAAAGCCCCAGATATTCCTAATATCACCTCCAATTTAAATACGGTTTTGGTTGAAAAAATTTTTTTTTTTTTATCTGGACAAGTAGATTGTTATGAGGGACAAGTAGATTAGGGCCCCTATTTAATCCCTGGACAAGTAGTTTTTTCAAAAATTTCCACACCCCTGGTGTATATGGAATTACACAGCCATGATACTATACTGGTAATGGCCGTGATCAGCGACTTACAGTATGACTGTGATAGTGTGGAGGGCAATCTGGCGCTAGCTGACGCTGGCTGGGGAGGTACACTGACATCAGTAGTAACACTAATACATTGATCTGTACTAATGGCTGGGAAGGACCAATCAAGGGGTTAATTTGTGTGCCTAACAATGTCTGATATGTGCTGCTTTAACTGTACTATATGGTTGTTTTTTTCTCCCTGCTTTGTAGAGAGAAACAGCTAGATCGCTGTTCCCTTTAGACAGAGCTGCTGCCAAACTTGTGCTGTGTCCAGTCATAGCACGGGTCAGCAGGGGTTGCGCATGTGCGCACCTGCAGACATGGAAGAAGGCAGTCACATATATATACGTGACTGCCTGTGATGCCCTCTTGCATGCCCTCTTGCAATAAATGTACTATGGCGGGGCAGCAAGTAGTTAATAACCTAGTTTCCCTGGAAATAATCTGTTATTGAAGTGGTAAGTGCTGTGTTGGGTGATTTTCTACAGATGTGTTTCTACTGTCCACAGTTTTGGGATCCTTCTTTGATTACTCCCATTACCAACTGTTTATATCCATCACCGATAATATTTATATATATATATATATATATATATATATATATATATATATATATATATATATATATATATATATATATATATATGACTCTTTACTGGTCTTTTTTTTTTTTTTTTTTTAACATAAACTTAACCGATTTTGAAGTTCCTTGAACCTTTTGTTGGATTGGGCAAAACATTTTTAGGTGCAATGCAGTGCAAAAAATCCTGCTTGCTGCATCTTTTGAGGCACTTTCGTGAAAATGCATGCTATATTGAGTTCTTTCGTAATGCCCCTAAAATGCATGTGCATCATACAGATGTAAACCCGGACCCAAGTCAGCTTTATCCCATGTGTGGAACAAGGTATTGTGGAAAGAACATAAGGATAGTTTTCACAGTTCCCCAGCACCTGCTCTGCTCTCACTATCCCCAACTCCATTAACCACTTGCCAACCACGCTATAGCCAAATGACGACTACAACGCGGTTGTCCAGTTCTGGGAGGGCGTCATATGACATCCTCCCAGAATGCGCCCCCAGGGGCACGCACCCGGCGATCTCCGTGATCATGGTGTTTTATGGACACAGTTGATCACGTGATGTGGTAAAAGGCCAATCACAGCAGCATTTTACCATGTGATCAGCTGTGTCCAATGACACCGCAGATCACTGGTAAATGCAGTTGCCGGTTATTGGCTTCACTGGCAATTGTCAGAGGACGGATTAGCACCGATCATCAGAGCACTGATGATCAGTGCCCAACAGTGCCGCCCAGCAGTGTCACCCACCTGTGCCCAGCAGTGCTGCCAGTCAGTGTCACCTATCAGTGTCCATCAGTGCTGCCTATCAGTGCAGCCTCATCAACGCACATCAGTGAAGGTGAAAAATTACCTGTTTGCAAAATTTTATAATAGAAACAAGGAAAAACAATTTTTTTTTCCAATTTTTTGCTTTTTTTTTTGTTTATAGCACAAAAAATAGAAAAACCCAGTAGCGATTAAATACCACCAAAAGAAAGTTCTATTTGTGTGAAAAAAAGATAAAAATTTCATATGGGTACAGTGTTGCATGACTGTGCAATTGTCATTCAAAGTGCGACAGTGCTGAAAGCTGAAATTTGGCTTGGGCAGGAAGGGGGTATATGTGCCTGGTAGGCAAGTGGTTAAGAACAAACTCACAAAATGTAACACGTTCTGTAAGTGGAGGAGGAGATTCTGTTGTTCATCCTCCCCTTCCCAATTCACAAAATATGTTGCATTCTGTAAAAACAAAATACGGGGTTTTTCTAATGGCGGATGGATTGAATAAGGAGGCTGGGCATCAAGAGACTTTCTCAGCTGCTGCTCCAAACCCATGTAGCACAAGCAGTTCGCAGCTGCGAGGAGGATCTGACAACAGTAAACAGAGGATTTGGACAACAGGCAGCCAGCAAGATGCAGGACACCCTTCATTAGAGGAAAGCCTTTACATAGGATCTAGTTGGCAGCAAGATCCTGTGTAAAAAATAGTGTGCGCACTGTAAGCATGCAACATTTACAGGAGTACAGCATAAATGTATGCTAATGGACACTGCTGCTGCTCAGAGCCGACATGTAAATAGCAGCAATGTGTAATCTGTGTCAGTGCTGGTTACACATTATTGATGTTTATACGTCGGCCCTGAACGAGTCATTTGTGTGGCACTTGCACAGAATGACCTCAGCGGATTCTGAATGACTCATTCAAAGCTGAGTGTAAGGCTGAGTGTGATTGGTGGCTGCCAATTACACGTTCAAATTTATCTGTAGGCCCTGATTGGTGACACAAATGTTTACAATGGGACAGCATAAACTGCAGTTCTTACACTTGACCTTGAAGGCAATGTTCTATACCTTAGATTGTATGCCCTATGAGGGTTAGGGACTAATGTGAATGTACAATATATATGTAAATCGCTGCGTAAATTGACGGCGCTATAGAAGTACCTGTAATAAATAAAAGTTTTGGTTTACGCAGCTTTCCACTGTGGACCAAAACGGTGTGCTTGTGCCCATACATCACTGTTCAGAGCCAAGTAAATCGCACATCGGAATGCAGCAAATTGTACTCAAATATTCATGAGCCCTTAAAGTAGCAGAACAAAATGGCAAATATTTTGGATGGCAAAACACAATTTTTTTTTTTTTTTTTTTTTTCTTCAACTCTGTGTTTTATCTATTTGACTGGCTAACCAGTCTGTCATGAAAAGGGAAAGATTTTAATGTATAAATGCATAAATGTATGCTAATGGACACTGCTGCTGCTCAGAGCCGACATGTAAATAGCAGCAATGTGTAATCTGTGTCAGTGCTGGTTACACATTATTGATGTTTATACGTCGGCCCTGAACGAGTCATTTGTGTGGCACTTGCACAGAATGACCTCAGCGGATTCTGAATGACTCATTCAAAGCTGAGTGTAAGGCTGAGTGTGATTGGTGGCTGCCAATTACACGTTCAAATTTATCTGTAGGCCCTGATTGGTGACACAAATGTTTACAATGGGACAGCATAAACTGCAGTTCTTACACTTGACCTTGAAGGCAATGTTCTATACCTTAGATTGTATGCCCTATGAGGGTTAGGGACTAATGTGAATGTACAATATATATGTAAATCGCTGCGTAAATTGACGGCGCTATAGAAGTACCTGTAATAAATAAAAGTTTTGGTTTACGCAGCTTTCCACTGTGGACCAAAACGGTGTGCTTGTGCCCATACATCACTGTTCAGAGCCAAGTAAATCGCACATCGGAATGCAGCAAATTGTACTCAAATATTCATGAGCCCTTAAAGTAGCAGAACAAAATGGCAAATATTTTGGATGGCAAAACACAATTTTTTTTTTTTTTTTTTTTCTTCAACTCTGTGTTTTATCTATTTGACTGGCTAACCAGTCTGTCATGAAAAGGGAAAGATTTTATGGTACTATTGTGGTGTTTTCTTTTCTAAATATGCATTAATGTATCCTAGTTATTTTACTCCTTAACTTGTCCTCTCAGTCATGTATATAACTACTGTACAAGTGTACACCAGTCTAATCAAGCACGAGGTTCTGGAGTGCCACCATCAAAGTCCAAAAAAGGCCAGACCCCTGGAGGAGCTCAGTTTGTTGGGCTTGAACTGTATAAGAGATTAAAAGAGTTTTTGAAGAGTTACTTAACAAATCTGCTGAAGGTGAGTTTCTCTTTTTAAAGAGCAGTTTCTTTTTTTTTTTTTTTTTGTTTCCTTCTATATATTTTAAGATCAGTTTAATGCAAGCCTGATTGCTGCCTAGTACTACCTCATAATAGTTGTACCTTGCTCTTCTTATTTCACTTCTAGTCTACCAGACATAGTCTGTCTGATTGACAACAATAGTTTCATTGCAGTCTCTAATGATGTGAAACCTCCACTGTGCTCCTGGTGGCCAGAGACCATGTGATCTAGGCTCTGGGTCACATGAGGGAGCTTGGGAGCAGCGTTTTTTTATTCATTGGAAAGACAAAGGTACCTTTTATTTATTCAAGATGATAATGTGATCTGCCTTACTGATTCGTCTGAATTTTAGTGATCTAGCCACTTTATTTCCTAGAATATGTGGCAGGAAAACGAGTAAAATAGAAGAATTTATTTCTGCCCTAAAATTTTGCTTAGCAGGACATTCTAAGAAAATGACTCTAGGATCTTTGATTACATTTATGTGCTCACTCTGCAGGATGGAGAAGATCTTATGGATGAAAGTGTACTAAAGTTTTACACACAACAGTGGGAAGACTATCGGTTTTCTAGTAAAGTACTGAATGGCATTTGTGCATATCTCAACCGCCACTGGGTTCGGCGTGAATGTGATGAAGGGCGCAAAGGGATATATGAAATTTACTCGGTAGGCTTTTTTTATTCTTCATACTTCGTGTATTATTACTTAAAGGGAAACCATAATGGTTTAGGGCCGATATACTTTGTGTTTTTTTTTTCTTAATCCTTCAAGGTTTTAAACAGATGTTTCACATATATTTATAGTATCTCTAATAAGTATTTTATTTTTGTCTTCGACCCTTGACGCTTACAGGGTTTCTATTTTGTTTTTGTTGAAACTGATCAACAGAAATGCATTTTAACCATTTTAAAGGATAATAATTCCCCTATATAGATCTGTAGTGAGACCTCATTTTAGAATACTGTGTCCAGTTCTGGGGACTACACTTACAAAAAGATATAGATAAGATAGACCAAGTCCAGAGACTGGTAACAATAATGGTAAAAGGTCTGAAGGATAAAACCTATCAAGAGAGACATCAGAAACTTAGAGAATCTTTACCCTGTATAAAAAAAAATGTCCGCAGCTACAAATACTGTAGCTGCTGAATTTTAAAAAGCAGACACCTGTCCCAGGATCCAGTGATGTTTTCCCCTGACCCAGCTCTTTGCTGGCTTAACTGTGGGCAGTTGGCTATGATTTCCATTTCCAATATGGGAGAGGAGGGGGAAAAGTGGACCTTCTCATCTTTGGTTGAACTTCCACTTTAATATGTACAGTCTGGAGGAAAGAAGGGAAAGGAGAGACGTATTGAAACCTTTAAATACATCAAGGGGATGAACAAGGTTCAATCTTTGAATATTTTCAATATGAAACCAAGATCAAGAACACGAGGCCATGACCTCAAACTGGAAGAAAGTTCATAACTAATCTTAGTATTATTTTACTTAAAGGGTGTTGATTCTTGGAATAGACTTACAGCAGAGGTAGGGAGTCAGTCAACAATAAGTGGTTTAAAACATGCTTGGGACCAACATAAATCTATACAGTGTTCTGTAAGCATTGGTACATTTGTTAATCAGGAAGTGACTGTTGAGAACTGTTGAGGAGGAGGAGGTCAAGGGTTTAAACACCAAAGACCGCAGTGGGCTTCCTGGCAGACATCTAGCTTAAAGTTGCCCCTTCTGGAGTCCTCTCCGCTAATCTCTGGATCTGGAGTTCTGGCAGCTGCCTTAATATCCCATATCTTTTCCTGTGCTTCCTCACTGACCGGTATACAGTGGGGAAAATAATATTTGATCCCTTGCAGATTTTTTACGTTTGCCCACTTGCAAAAAAAAATGAAGGGTCTATAATTTTAATTTTAGGTGTATTTTAAATGATAGAGACAGAATATCAACCAAAAATCCAGAAAAAATACATGATACAGGTGTTATAGATTGAGTTGCAGTTCAGTGAGTAAAATAAGTATTTGATCCCCAAGCAAAACATGACTTAGTACTTGGTGGAGAAACCCTTGTTGGCAAGCACAGAGGTACTATATTTCTTGTTGTTGGTTACCAGGTTTGCACACATCTCAGGTGGGATTTTGGTCTACTCTTCTTTACAGATCTCCTCTAAATCTTTGAGGTTTCTTGACTGTTGCTTGGCAGCTCGAAGTTTCATCTCTCTCCATAAATTTTCTATAGGATTAAGGTCTGGGGACTGACTAGGCCACTCCATGACCTTAATGTGCTTCTTCTTGAGCCACTCCTTTGTTGCCTTGGTGGTATGTTTTGGGTCATTGCCATGCTGGAAGACCCATCCACGACCCATCTTCAGTGTTCTGGCTGAGGGAAGAAGGTTCTCATTCAAGATTTTACAATACATGGCCCTGTCCATTGGCCCCTTAATGTGGCAAAGTCGGCCTATACCTTTTAGCAGAGAAACCGCCCCAAAGCATAATGTTTCCACCTCTGTGCTTGACTGTAGGGATGATGTTCTTAGGGTCATAGTCAGTATTTTTCTTCCTACAAACATGGCGAGTCGAGTTGATGCCAAAGAGCTCAATTTTGGTCTCATCAGCACTCCCAATACTTCTCTGAATCATTTAGATGTTCATCGGCAAACTTCAGACAGGCCTGTACATGTGCCTTCTTGAAGAGGGAGACCTTGCTGGCGCAGCAGGATTTCAGTCCATGGCAGCATATTGTTTTACTAGTGGTTTGTTTGGTGACTGTGGTCCCAGATGCCTTGAGATAATTCACAAGCTCCTCCCAAGTAGTTCTTGGCTGATCCTTCACTTTTCTCAAGATCATCCTTACCCCATGAGGTGAAATCTTGCATGGAGCTCCAGACCGAGGGCGATTGATGGTTATTTTGTATTTCTTCTATTTGCAAATAATCGCTCCAACAGTTGTTTCCTTCTCACCAGGCTTTTTGCTGATGGTCTTGTAGCCCATTCCAGCCTCACAATCTTGTCCTCTGACGTCGTTTGACAGCTCTTTGGTCTTACCCATGATGGTGAGGAAAAATTGGATTCTGTGGACAGGTGTCTTTTATACACATAACGAGTTGTCGTTAGGAGCAGCTTCTTAAATTGACACGACTAATCTGTGTACCACATGAGCACATAGTCAGCCTGTGGGAGCCAGAATTATTGTTGGTTGGTAGGGGATCAAATACCTATTTTACTCACTGAACTCCAACTCAATTTATACCATTTGCATTGTTTTTTTTTTTTTCCTAGACTTTTAGTTGATATTTTGTCTCTATCATTTAAAATACACCTATGATAAATTAGACCCTTCATTTCTTTGCAAGTGGGTAAATCTGCTGGGGATCAAATAATACTTTTCCCCACTGTATAGGCTGATTGGACTCACTTGGAAAATATGTTTTCAGTACTGGAACATTTCACTTGGCAATACCCATGGGGTTCTCTGGCTGTTGTTGACCCAGCCATTTCCTACTTGAATAAGTCCCTGGTGGTTCCAGTCTTTAAACATAAACAGATAAGACATTTGAGGCCCTGTTTAAGATTGTTCTCTCTGGTAAGAGTGGCTCTGAAGCCTGCAGAAGTTTTCCAAAAATCTCTCTCATGTCTTGTCCAAAAAATTGCGTCCAGAGACAACAAGCTAATCTGGTGTTTCGCATATTGCTTGTTCTAGGCTTCATGCTGTCAAACACGCATACTGCACCCAAAAAGGAGCCTTGTTTGCTGCACTGGACCAGCTGTTCTCTCAGGCGGTCATTACCCTTGCTGCAGAACTTGAAAGGTTTCACAATTACTACTACAACCTGTTCAGAGTTCCCTAACCAAATCACAATGTGCACTCCATTCTGGACCTGAAGAACTTAAACAAGTTCTTACCTGTTTAAAAATCCTGCATAGAATTAGTAGTAACCCCATCTTGCGGCATTTTCTGGTCTCTGCCCATTTCCACTTTCTTATATTTTCACTTGATTAGTGCTACCTGCACTTTGCAGTGGGGGAACGCTATTTTTAATTGGTTGTTCAGACCTTTGACTTGGCCTCCTCACAGCAAATGTTTGTGAAGGTGCTGGCTCTGATTTTGGCTTTTCTGCAAGCCAAGGTATCCCCATTCTGGGATATCTGCATATTCTACTGTTACGGGAACATTTAAGAGAAGACTTCAGGGCCAATGTACCGCAGATGGTGCAAGTCCTGCAGGACTTCGAGTGGGTCCTCAATATCAAAAAGTCGACCTTGAAATCACCCTGGCTGGAGTATCTGAGCCTTGTCATTAACACATTACTGGCATGTGTTTTCCTTCCCCTTAAAAAGCTTTAGACCCTTTAGTCTAAGGTGTAGGAGTTTAGTTCCTCGGAGTTCCCTTCTATTCACTTTTGCATTTAAGTCCAAGGTCTTTGGATTAGATTCGTTAGTCAATCTGTGTAATCTGTTCAACCTGATATGTGTTCCTCCCCTTTCTAACGTACATATTCACCCTGGATCTCCAAATATGGTCCAAAGGGGTTTTTATTGCAATAAGATCGCATCACAGAAGAAAGTGCAATGTTTCGAAGCCGGGCAGGACCCCTTCTTCAGGCATGTGATCTTCTGTGATTCCCACTTGGGGCGGAGACCAAAAAGCCCTCTTCTTGTGAAAAGGGAAAGCTTTATCCTAAGAAATACTCCATGATGTGGTTGTTACACTACCTTTAGTTAGGACTGCAAAAGTCCTGAGCCCTGAAGTCTAAAAGCGGTCAGGTTTCTGCCTTGGCAATGCTCATTGAGAGACTACTTGTTTCACACTTCTCAATCAGATCCCCAGTACGCTCCCCGCTAACTCCATGGAATCTCAAATCTGGTAGTGTTGGTACTTCAGAGGCCATCGTTTGAACCCATTCAGGATATATTTCTCACTGATCTATCATGGAAAATTACCTTTCTCATGGCTGTCACCTCGGTTGGGAGGGTGTCTGAGTTTGAGGCTTTGTCCTGTAAGGAGCCTTTTCTTATGTTTCACAAGAACAGCGTTGTGTGGAGATCACGTAATTCCTTCTGGTCTAAGGTGGTCTCTGCTTATTTGAACTAGAACATCATGTTGCCTTTCTTATGTTTGGCTCCAAAACATCTAAAGAGATTACTCTGCTGCTTGGGACTGGCTAGATCTGTTAGTCAGCTCCCAGCTCTTATGTAAAAGAGATTTGGGCAGTTTTAGAGCTGTCCAATAACTTTTTATTGTCCTGTGTAGTGCTGTCCCCCCGCCACATTTTCCCCTCCCTGCCATGGTTCTTGAGCTCTCCCACTCCTCCAGGGAGCCCGGGAGCAAAATAAACTGTCCGGATGGCGAGCAGGAGGAAAGTATTCCTTGTTCTATGGAATTTAATGATCCCAGAGGTGCTCAATGCTTTTAAACTCTGGTTGAAATGCCAGGTTAACAGCCAATCAATCAGTCTAATGCTTCATCGGCTGCAAGAAAGACATTAAAGGATATATAAACCAAACATTTCATATTCCTAATATATTCCTGCTGTACTACTTAGTGCTTGTATGAAAAAGTATCTTTTTTCTCTTTGTATTGCTTCCTTTGCTTGAAATCCCTGTCTTCCTGCCAGGAACTGACCACACTAGGCAGTATTTGCTCTTGTGAAGTCTTCTCTTTGTTTATAGATTGACA